TAACATATTTACTTTTCCATCTTTTCCTTGAATATTTTTGTTTCATAAGTCGAGATTACTTTCTTAATCTGGGATATTGTTTTTCTTCAAGAATAAAAGGCATTCACACATCTGAGTTCCTAGGTTTGCTACTAGAGTGATTACTCTTTTTGTGAATTGTTAAAGTTATACTAAATCGCTTGCCCTTACACACCACAGAGAGATTTCATTTTGATAACTTTATTAGGAAAATTGTGGGCTTGTTAGTATATTTTTCTTTTTTATGATTTAGCAATTTGATAATTTAATAACAAGATATTAACACTTTCTATAAAAACATATAATCCATTCAAAAAACTTCACTTTAAATGATAGATTTCATGTGATGAGATTTATTTTCAGAAAAAAATTATTCCACACTAGGTTACTTAAATTTGGCAATGGAGATCATCAAAACACAAGGTAAAGAGCGTGATTCGTAAAACTATTTGTTTTCAGACACTATGTGTATGTCCTAACTTATGTCCTAAGAATTGTTTATTATCCAATGTGATTGATTGAATTATTATTTCAAAGTAAGAGGCAAAGGCTTGTTCTGTGGAATGAGTTTACTAAACAAATGAACAAGGACAGCTAACAAGAATTTGGTGATTCCGGTTTGCCGGCGGAGCAGAACAGCTGTGGCTAGCAGGGCTCCGTGAAGCCTAGCTGATTTCTGCCTGCTTGGAGGCTCTTCGGAGCCAAACATCACCTTGTAGGGGTGGACAAGAAAGGAAGGGCTCTCATAGATCGCAAGTGGATAGGAATCCACTTTGCTGGAGCCGGGAAAATCTTCTTTACAGGGGGAGAAGAAGACAGCCAATAATGGCTGAACCAGAGCTATTGACAGCCAGAACAAGCAAGTTGTCAGCCTATATCTCGCTTGCTATTGGCTGCCATAGTAATGGGGGAAGTGGGCTATTCGGGAAAGGAAACATGCTGGTGGAGATGTCTTGGAATAAAAAGGGAGGATTGCTCTCATCATCTACTGCGCAGCTGAATGGACTTTTTTATGCCCAGTCAAAATCAACCATCTCTGCATACCAGATGGATGAAGCCACCTGAAGATGGACCATGGAGTGCCAGGCTGCATTTGAGGAACTGAAACGATTGTTTGCAGTTGAACCCGTCCTAAAACATCCCAACATGGATGCCCCTTTCGTGGTCCAAGCTGATGCCAGTGATGTGGCTGTGGGGGCGGTACTACTTCATACTAATGCTGCTGGAATCTTACAACCTTGTGCCTACCCCTCGTGGAAATTGACTGAAACCGAAAGGAGGTGGACAATTTGGGAGAAGGAAGCATTTGCATCTGGTGGGCCCTGCTAACCTGGAGGCATTTCCTTGAAGTAGCAAAGAATCCTTTTGAGGTGTGGAGGGATCATAAGAATCGTGAGGCCTTGAAAACACCTCGGAAGCTGTCACCTAAGCAAGTTCGCTGGGCCAACATTTTATTAGGTTCAATTTCTCTCTGTGGTGCTTTCCTGGCGGAGAAAACTTTATGGCAGACTGCCCAATATAATAGCACCCAGCCAGAGGTGATCCACCCAGTCCTCCCCTCTAAGCAATTGGCTGTTCCCATGCTCAGAGAAAGGTTGACTTGGATGTGTCCACCAAGCTAACCGGCAGCTAAAGAAAGTGCTGGCAACTGATGACTGGTTCAAATCCCACTTAAACAAATGTACAATTCGTGATGGCCTCGCATGGGGGGGGGGGGGGGGCTAAGTTGTATGTCCCCGCGAAGCTTAGGGGAGTTGTGTTATAACAGGCCCATGATTCAAAAGCTGTGGGACACTTTGGGTTCATGAAAACGTTACATTTAATTAAACGGCATTTTTGATGGCCTTCCTTGAAAAAGGACATTGAATCTTACATTACTAGTTATAGGTGATTTGAAAAGAAACAGTGTATCGATTGGGTTAAGGATTGCCTAATTTCTATCAAACTTAAACTAAATTCACCAAAATATTTTTGTGAAGAAGGGAGACTCCAGAGAGAAAGAGGGAGGGAATTGTTACTCTTTCCCCCCTCCAGAAGCGGCAAGTGAAAGTTTTGAGCAGATTACACACCCACTGGAAATGAAAGTGAAGCAAGGAAATAACTATTTTTAATTGGAAGAGAAAGACTGGACTGAGCACCTTTGTAAGACATTTTTAAAGATATAGATATGATGTATTTATTTTGAGTTATTTTCTAAACCTCTTTTGGGCTATATTTAGCTAAAGTTCTTTTTCTCTTTTTCTTTTTCTGAACTCCTAACTTAAGAGTGGAAAGGAAAAAGAAAGTAAGGCTGCCATCTGCTGGATTAAGTTGGTATATACAAGAAGAAATGATGAACTGGTTAGACTCAATAAAGGACTGATAATACTTTGTTTTGAGAACTGCTACATCTGGTGCTAGGAAATNAGGGGAGAGGGGGAAAGAAATATTATAAAAACAAACAAGGATAGATAAAATATTAGATAAGAAAGAAAAATGTGCACTAAAAAGGTAAAAGGAAAATTAGTTAACAGCAAAATTAAAACTTCAGTCATCTGTTAACGGCCTATTATTATATTTAATGTAGAAATTCTACAGCTTATCTACCATAAATCACTGCAGTCATATCTCTGATCCATTTGAGATAAAATATCTTTGTTTGATTCTTAATAATAAAACTTTTCCTTAAGATTTTGGTTGAGAACTTTCCCAACAATTGTGTCTTTCCCCCCTAAATCACAAACCTCTGTTGTCAATCCATTTTCTCTAAAAAGTCCAGTTGAAATTGTTTTCCAGTTAGATATAGTAAGTCCATTCCCCAATCACTATCAATCTTCTTAAGAAAATTCAGTTCATCATTCATCGATTTTCTTAACTCCAAATCTGTAGAAGCAAATATCTCCTTCAGCCTTCTGCCACAAACCTGCAAGTTTCTTTTCCTTCCTATCTATCAAGTTGAGAGCTTGACTTTGCTGCAGTTGCTTATGTCTAGATATCCTCTTTAGGTAGATTTAAAACTATTGTTATTTTATTAAAGTTTTTATCAAAGTTTTCAATTTGAATTTATAGGTTAAAGAACAAATTTTCCCCAGAGGGTTTTATCTTTAAGTTGTACATTGTTTGCATTTTTACTACAGTTCTGTAAAGAATTCACAACTAGACATAAACAGTTCCTTTCAAAGACAGGGGAGTTAGATATACTATAACGAAGTAATCACAGAGAACTTGGTATAATATTGCTCACAATAAAGAAGGATGGAAAAAAAGAGATTTTTTTCTTTCTTTCATATGTATATATGAACCGCAGTAGTGCAGTGGTTAAAAGTGCAGTAGTGCAGGCTACGTCTGCTGCCTGCCAGCTGCCTGCAATTTGGCAGTTCAAATCTCACCAGGCTCAAGGTTGACTCAGTCTTCCATCATTCTGAGGTGGGTAAAATGAGGACCCAAATTGTTGGGGGCAATATGCTGACTCTGTAAACCACTTAGGGCTGTAAAGCACTGTAAAGTGGTATATAAGTCTAAATGCTATTGTTGCTACGTTTGATCAATAGGAATAAAATACAAAACAGAAAAACAAAACAAAAAACATGCATCCAACAGTCACAATAGCAAAAGAAAAAAAATGTGTACATAAAAAAAATGACCCAAACATCAAACATACCAAAAAAAAAAAAAAATCCACCCTGGCTTGATGCTGAAAAGAAAAATTAAAAAAACCTGATAAATTCTCCTCCCCTTATATAATGGGTCTGTAAATAGTTATACATTTTCTCATCCTTATTTAACAAGAAAAATATATAAACAAATATTTTAGATGATAAGGTTATTATATATGTGTGTGTGTGTGTATATATATATATATAACATGTTGGGTCGATTAAAAAAAGAAAATTTTCATCAAGCATTAAAAAATTAAGACCAGAGCTTAAGTTAAGAATATACAAAATCTGTATAGAGAAAATCTGATGTAAATGAAAATCTAAACAGGTCACTTTCACTATCCACAAAATCTTCATCAACTTCCATACAGAGAAGCCAAAAGTAATTCAGAACAGCAGAGTGAAACAATGAAAAAACATTAAAGAATTCATGTTAAAATCCAACAAGGGATTAGAATAAATCGGCCTTCAACCAGTCAGTTAACTCATTAAAAAAATCAGGATAAAAAATAAATAAATTCAAACCATACAGTTAAAACTCACGTGTGCTAAAAAATCAAACAGCTGGGAGGAATAATGGAGACCTGATTTCCAGCGGTTCTACTGGGAATTGCAATCCTCAAGATTCCTCTTCTCGGGAAGATTCACAGTCATTCGAGGATCCTCTTGGGGCGTTCTTAGCTGCCCATTTAGATCTAGGAGCCAGTTGTCAAAGAACCCATTGTGGTGGCAAAATCAGCTGTTCATCAGCAGGAGAAACAGATTGCCCCTCTGCTCAACATGCCATCTTAAGAGAAATCCAACAGTGGTCATTTTTAATAGAATTGAAACCATTCAATTCTTACAGCTGCCATAGAGATAGGGAAGGCCTTCTCTTTGGGAATTACTGATTCAAAAGTGATCTAATCGGTCCTCTTTCAGTAAAGTTGAAGTATCTTTTGCATCTGAAATATGAAATGTCTTTTGTTTGGATTTCTAAAACCTTGATTCTGAGCATAATTTTTTCTATTTATTACATGCACATCAAATAACTAATTGTTTGCACAGCTGGATTGATTGATCCAGTACATTTAATTAGGTTTCATTCAAAATTCACGCAGAAAAGATATTTTGCATTTGTCACTTTTATGTCACTCATTTTAATTAGCAATCTGAACACCCAACTACAATTTTGTACAATATTATAACTGGTATTTTTCAATAACACACATAAAATTTGGAAAAAAATATGCCTGAAATTTGGAGGATGCACTCAAATCTTTTAATGATAGGCCTTTGTGATGTCATCAATTATTCATAAACTAGCACATCTTACATCGTGGCTTACCTCATTTCTTCCTGCAGAAACTGTATTTGAAAAACATCTCCACGAAACAGCTTACTTGGCGATTTGATCTTGATGCTGCAGGCAAAGCCGTAGATGATGGTATCTTCAAATTTAGTTTACATACTGGAATTCTCTATCCGGGGCAAAATACAGCTGTTACCATATGCTTCTGCCCATGTAAGAATTTGTTTTCGTGTCAACTCTGTATATGTTTAAATCAATTTTGTATATTGAAGATTCTACATTTGAAATGCTTTATAGATATTTTCTTGCTTATTTTTATACATTTAACAAATTCATTATTTCATTTAAAATAAACACGCACATATACGTATGTACATACATACATACATACCACATACATACGGGCACACAATAATATACTATATAGAAACACATAAAGTATATACAGTATTCCTTGTACATTTACTTCATTCACTAGGCTTGAATAAGCAATAGAATATTTTCTTCTTAAAGATATATTTCCCATAAGTTCTATTGTTAATTTAATGGTTTGAAAGAAGAGATGTTTTTGTTTGAAAAGTTTCAAAGAAAGTAATCAGTTTTCCTCCTCTTCATTTAGTTGGAATGTGACTGAAAATTACCATTGCAGGGATGATATGCCTTGTCTCAAATCATCTCAAGCAACATGGAAAGCTCAATTACATAATATACATTATAGCTTAGCCTTTTAACTTTTCAATTAGTAAATGATTAAAGTTCTTTCTAAAGATGAAGACTGTCAGAGTGACAGTGCAGTACCCTTTGTACCTTAGTTGTCTGTTGTTGTTTTTAATGAAAATCTTTACACCATTCAAAAATATCATTATTGGTCTACTGTATATACTCGAGTATAAGCCTAGTTTTTCAGCCCACTTTTTGGGCTGAAAAAAGCCGCCTCGTCTTATACTCGAGTCAGTGAAAAATTTGCCCGAAATAGAGGAGAAAAAGGGGCGGGG